TTGCCTCCCAGCTGCCCAAGCTGCTCCCGTCTCTGCCCTGGACTTGCTCTGAACAACCTGGATTGTTCAAATAAATCGACTGCATTTTTCATAACGTAGTGTCAGCCTCCAATGCCCAAAACCAACACTGCCAGCTTCCGCAGCCACAGACCCCACCATAACGGGCTTGCGATGGTCCCTTGTTTCGGGCCCTGGGAACATACTTGCAGTCTGGAACCTCATGTCCTTCTGTGCTGGGACATTCTCTAGAACTGATTCCAGGTCTTAGGTGCCCTCTCTTCGTCCTTCTGGATACAGGGAAGAAAGAGCCACAGCGTCTGGGCCACGTCGAGGACCCAGGGTAACTTGCAGGAAGATGCGGTTGTTGGAATATCTGTTGCACCAGAGGCTCCAGAGACCTTTAGACCACTGGGGAAGAGCTGCACATGGACTTACCACAAAGACAAAAGCAGGGAGCTAAACACAGACCATTATTTGCTCCCGGTGGGGGTGAAGTGCGGTAGGAGAAAAAGCTGTTATTGTTACCATGGGATTTAACTGAGAAGACTGATAACAAAGTCATAAAAAAGAAAAACACACCCAATAGGGAAACAGTCCAATTTTAATGCAAATATTTTGGAAGGACGGGCACATGAGAGAGGTATTCACGTGTCGTGAGTTTTGGGGGAATAAGACGTCAATAAATTAACGAAGAATGTCTACGGTTGAAAAAAATCTCGTAGGGGTGGAAGCATGCTATTCAGAAAAGTAGAGAGAAGGAAAACGATAACCAGTTAGAAGAAGTGAAATTTGTTGTCTCGATGGAGGGAAAATGGGAAGGGCTGGGAAGATTTCTCAGAGCACTTGACTCTTTGAACTACGGGGAATTGTAAATGCTGCATGGAGACAGAAGTTACAACGTGCCCGAGGTTCGCATTGTTTGCGTTTAACTGTTCGTGTTCATATGATTCCGTAGACACTCTTGCCCTTTCTCTGGTGGGAAATGAACTAACGATCATGGAGCCCTGCATTTCATTCACCCACCCAACAGATACGGTACGTCAAGGCAAACGTTTGCTCCCCAAACCCAAATGTCTGGAGTTACACATAAACCTGGAAAAATGTTCTAAAAGAGGGTAAGTAGATAACATCATTCAAACAAGGACACTAGGCAACAAATGGGGATTAGTGCAGAGACATTTATCACCCATGCCCCAAATTTAGATCTTTCCTTACACCTTACAACATAGGTACTGCTTTAAACCTGGAAATATATATTGTGTAAACCAACCTTGCAGATTTATAACATTTCCTAGAAAGCACTGCAGTTCTTCTAGAAGCTACAGTTCTGCCTGCAACTATCGATCACTAGCAATAGGAAAGGGTTTTGATTTTTTCAGATAAATGTATGAAAGCCTAGGCACTTGCCTTAGAATAACTCCAATTAACAAACCGACGAAAACAGATACTGATTTATGCAAAAGCATGGATGTGAAGGTCAACACGTTCTAGACACTACATTCTAATAGTGGCCACGCTGATGATGTAATAAAATAATGATGTCACACATTGCTGCCATTTTATATTTTTCAAAGATATTTTCTAATCACTATTGTGGGAAGAAGCTGAACTTTGCATTCACAACGTAGCATCTCCACCTATATTTGATGAACATCTGAACTCTGCAATACCTTTGATCAAGCAGTACCAGAACAGCGCACATTGTGATAAATCAGGAGACGTACGGCGACGGTAGTGATTCCTAATTACAGGGAGGAGTCCTTCCATTGGGAGTATTTCCACAGTGTGGCTGTAGATTTTCGTCAGTACAGTGTTTGATAAACCACCATAACTCACATACACTTGCTAAAATTATTTTCATTTTACTTCATCTTGCAAGTTGATGTATTTTAAATGTATGCGTATTTTAATAATAGGCTGAATTACTTAAAACATTCTACGAATCTGGATATTTACTAACTGAAAACGATAGCCTCACCCGCCTGCCTCCCGTCCGTGGCGTGATTACAAGCGAAGGAAATGCCTGTGCTGTCAGCTCAGCAGCAGACAGACCTTGAAACGGTGCTTTAAGATCTCTCTGATGATAATATAATCAGTACCGCGTCGTGGTGGGCTAATTAGATGCTTCCTCTTCCTGCCAAAACTACGTATTCTGTAATGACACTTGACAAACTTACCTACCTTCTCATTTAATAGCCATTCCCTTTCATTGGTTACTTTAATATAAATATTAAAATAGTGGCCTTCAAAGGAAGGAGAGTTTTATTTAATGTATTATATACCAATATAATTATATATGCAAAAAAGAATCTTAGGAAGCAACTTGCTTCCTAAGGAGCACCTTGCAAGAAAGAGTTAAAGCATAATTTAATTCAATTCTGACCTTTTATTCTGTGGATCCGTTTTGATCTCTCTCCTTAGTAACAACCAGAATAGCAGTTACAACAGATTGGAGGGGGGGAGGGTATATATATATAGATACACACATACATACTACACATGGTAGAATTTAAAATTAAAAAGAATACAATGAAAGTGCTTTATTAAGCTGTTCAGAGAGAGAAAAAAATGAACCGAATTTCATCAGGTTATCAGCTGAGAGAGTAACAGGGTCACCAGGGAGGTCTGAGAAATCTGCACAGGACTGAAGAGGGTTCCAGAGCCCCGAAAATAATCCTGAGCTCTGCAGAGGAGGAACACACAGAGCTAATTATTCTAATAAATATTCTGAGTGAGAGGTTTGCGAAATTAAAACAGTCGTGGAAAAAGAGACACGTTTCCAATGTTCTGGAGGCTCTGCCACACTTCAGTGCTACGTTCCAAAGTCTTCCCCGAAGCCACGGGGACAAGCCACCGGGACGTGGCATCTCGTGGCACTGCTCACCCCGCCAGGCACTATCTTCTCTTTAAAGTGGGGTGAACGTTTCCCCAGATTGCAATGGTAGAGATCTTTTACTTCTCCTCTATGTCGGTCATTGAGAATGCAGTGATCAGAATCTTCCAGAAAGTAATATTTTGATTGTTTATAACTTCTAGGAACAAGAATTTGTTTTTTTATGTAATGCCAAATTTGCTTTACCATGCAGAGTGACAGACTCCGCCACGAAAACTTTCCCGGATCTGATCATAGTTAACAAACAGTACATCGTTTTCTCGTAAACTGCCCTTCGACTTGGCTCCATCCGCGGTTTGTGGAGACACCGCTCGAATCCAGATCCGTCAGCAAACAAATCAAAACAAGTGCTAACTCCTCTTGCACGGATGTACGTACACTGGAAAGCGGTCGTTTTCATCGTGTCCCTTCTGTAACAGGTAGGGACACACAACTTCTGTAATTCACAGGGTAAGTTGATAGGCGTGGTGTTTACAGCTCAAATCATAAAACACCCACTTTCTTGCTGAAAACCACCAACCGCAGCCCGGAATCTGTGTCGACAACATGAGCATTTGGTTCGGGGTCTCTTAAAGACCACCACGCAGTCCACAGCTTTCCCGCTGACATGCAGTCCTTGTGACGAGGCGTTTCAGATGAGGATCGTGTAGGGGTGACAGACACTGGAGGCATGAGTGATCGGCGCCGGTGGTAAGAGACCACCGAGGTTTCAAGGTGACCACTAGCGCCGGTGGTAAGAGACCACCGAGGTTTCAAGGTGACCACTAGCGCTGGTGATAAGAGACCACCGGGGTTTCAAGGTGACCACTACCATTACTTGGTCTCCGGAAAACTTCTCACTGTTTGCCTCCTTGGGGATCGTGGACGGCAGCAGGCGCCGCCTGATCGCCGTGGTGATGTCACAGGGCTGCCTTTGGCAGGACAGGTGTCCCACCCTGTCCTTTGCCTCCTTCCCTACCCGCCCAGCGTGCTCCCCTCTCGTTTCTCTGCCACCACCCTGGACCACCACTTCCAACCTTCATCCGCCCCCTGCGTTCAGAGCTCACACGTTTTTTAAGGGAGGACAAGTATTCTGTCTTCGCCGCAGGCAGGGGAAGGACCCACCACTGCCTGGCAATACAAGGGCCTCACACGATCATGCCTTTAAAAGAACTAAGGAGGCCCCGGTGCCGGCCCCTTTTGAGAAAATGTATATATTAAAACCAATTCCAAAAAGTAGACAGATTCATTATTGAACACATTTCGTTGTTATGGGACCACCTGTCACGCTGGCTTATGAGCTGAGGCCGGGACGGTGGCGAGAGTTCTCCCCAGAGTCCGAGACGAACTGGACACCAGCAAGGGACGCGCTCGCCCTGTCCCCTGTCCCTTTCCTTCCTCCCGCCCGTCCACTCCTGCTCCGCAGCAGGGTCCAGAGCGGGGACAGGGCGCACTGGCCGAGATCCCGCCTGGCCTGTCCCGCTGCCCGACCAGGATGCGCGGACCCGACGGCGCGGCAGCCCGCGTCCCGCCAGCCAGCTCCTGCCCTGCTGACCGCGCCCCGGAGTTCCCGGTCAGGGTTTGGGCCGCACGCCTGGCTGCAGGTGAACCTTTCCGACCGTGATGCTTGTCTGACGAGAGGCAACCAGCCAAATGTGTCTGCTCGGTCCCCTGCGGAAACCCTCCGCCCGGCAGAGATGACCGCCGGGAGTTGGCCCGGAGCTGCTGGCGGCCCGAGGAGCCGCAGGCTGAGGCCGGCCAGGTGGACCCAGCCCGCAGCAGGGGGTCTGGAAACGGGTCTGTGGCCAGGCTTGACTTTGGGCCCGACATGGAGCCCTGGTATGTAACCCTGCCCGCAGCTGGACCTCCCTGGGCGGCTCTGTTGCATGAGTCGGGAGGTGCCGTCATGTCTAAGATCATTAGCGGCGGGTTTCCTGAAACAGTTCTGTCAAGAATGTTCTGTGGGTGAGGAAGGTCCCCAAAACCAGGGGGAACAGGAGCGGGCAGGTCCGCAGCGCCACGGCTGTGCCTGCGGCAGCCAGGGACCCAGCCAGCCACGCACAGCAGGGCGGGGGGACCTCTGCACCCTAGGCACAGTCCTGGGGGCTTCTGAGGGCTCCCAGACCGTCTCGAGCCTGCCCCTTCAGGGAAGAGGTGATGACATCGGTGGACAGGAGATTGCCTTTAATATTTTATCATATTCTGTTTTGTTAATATACCCCAAATTGTGTCTCTGTAATTGTTTTAGAAATTGGTGCGTAGGCTTCTATTACTTACGAGGTGGAGATTTCCTATGTAAAGTTAACGCCGAGAGTCCTTTTTCCAGTGTTGTGTGGGGAATTAAATAGGCTAACGTTCGGATTGGAAAATATAAATTAAAATATATTCGCCCGCTGTAACCAGGGACACCGCGTAGTGGGAAGAAGCTGTACAAGGACCCATGCACACAACAGTCACCGTCAGTTTGCTCAGGTCAAGGGGCAAGCTTAGGATCTCGTCTTCGGTCTGCGAGAGAAGACTGGGTAATTGACGTAAACATCCTCTCCAGCGCCATCCGAGGGTTGGTTGTTGAAGTAGGGGTTTCTGTAGTTGTTCGATGCCTGGAAAGACAGTCGGAGAGGGTGTCAATAATCCCCTGCATTTCAGCCGCTGACAAAGATGCTGAACACAAATATCTCCTCCATTCAACGACCACAGGGCAAATTTCTATCACCATTAATTTCATGACACTACCGAACCTCTGCAAGAAATCGCGTTCGTGACTTGCAGGGCCTCCAGTGAGACGCAGCAGAGGAGGCCTGGTCTGCACCATCCCTGCTAGGCCGGGTTCAGGTGGAGATGCAGAATCCCCTTCCCCAATACCAGGCTGTTTTGATGAGGACAATTATTCTTTTTTGTTTGTTTGTTTGTACGTGCCCCTAGCGGGAACCAAACCCGGGTCTCTCTGGTCCGCAGGCCGACACTCCAACCGCTGAGCCAAACCGGCCAGGGCAGGACAATCATTCTTTATATGGAAAGTCTAATCTAGTATTTTCCCATTGTGGGCACCCATTCACTACTGTTGAATGAATGTCATGAGAGGCAATACTTTTAAAATATACGGTGTCCTACCTTAAAAATAAGCAACTGAACACAATAAATTTACAAAATAAACTGATATTCACTTTCAAGATAATGTTATTATTAGTGTGGCTTTGGTGTTTGCAAGGAGAAAGCATGTTCAAGTGTCCTTGTTACTTACATCACCTGTCAGATAAAAAATAAATCAAGTAAGTCTAACTTCATCTTAATATCAACTTAAACATCTAACTTTCTAATCATCGTTCAAGATGCCATTATTCTAAAAAGCCTGAAACAGTTGAGCACATAATGTAGGAAGTTGCAAAACTCCTTCCCTCTGAAATTCACAGCAGCAAATTTGGCTTCGGGTTGGCTTGAGCGGATGACCACTGAGAACAAAGGACAAATCCAAACCTTGTACAGACAGACCACTGTTTAGCTCAAGCAGAAGTCGGCAGATAAAACAAGGCAAGATGTCTTGAGATTTTGCAGTTGGTGCCAAAAAAAAAAAAAAAAGTAAGCCAGGAATTATTCAGGAAAAAAAAAAAAAGATTCTTTTGCAACGAGCAATACTTAACAGAAGGGAAAAGTTCAACTGCTAGAGTAGTAAGAAGTTTGAAGCACACACAGTGAATGGTCAGAATGCTTTGGTGCTTGGCCTTTTGGCTGGGGAGAATGTAATGGGAAGCAATTAAGTTGTAGAGAAATGGATGCAATTGTAGGTAACACTTGGGGCAATATTTTATTGTAAAAGTTCCTAAACAGAATGATGTGTGTCAAAGAGAATATCTGACCTGTCGTGGAGACAGGAGCATGAACACGAGCATCCCTCTCATCTGCAGAAGCAGATGGGATTTCCTACTCTTTCCAGTAAACAGAGGGGGACGGGCACAGGGAGGGTGAGGGACAGAAGGTCCCACCTCATCAGAGGCCGGCAGCCATCTGAAAGCTCTTGAGCTTATAGCCTGTAATGAATCAGTCAATCAAAAGGTAATAAGATTGATGAACATCATGGACTGTGCCCGTCTTGCTCCTTGTTTGCTTGCCAATGCTTCGGGTCCTGTGTGTCGTTTAATCCGATCCTCACGAGACCCTATGCATAAAAATAGTAGTATGCCCTGCACTGGGTCCAATAGTATCCCCCAAATGTGTGTTCTTCCCAGACCTTCATGACGGGGCCTTGGGTGGAAATAGGGAGACTAGAAGCACACACTGGGAAGAACGCGTGTGGAGACGGGCAGAGACTGGAGCGACGGGGCCACGGGCCAAGGCGGGCCAAGGCGTTCGGGAAGACGGCAGATGCTCAGAGGAGCGTGGAGCTGTCTCCTCCCAGGGAGGAACCGATCCTGCCGAGACCGTGATTTTGGACTTCAACCCTCTAGAACTGCGAGAGAATAGATTTCTGGGTTTTTTGTTTTTTAATCCTCACCTGAGGGTATTTTTCATAGAGTGGGTGGGTGGGAGAGAGAGAAACATCGATGTGAGAGAGACACATTGACTGGTTGCCTCCCGCAGGTTCCTGACCAGGGCCGAGGACGAACCACAACCCAGGTACGTGCCCTTGACTGGAATCAAACCCGCGACTCGTTGGTTCAAGAGCCAACGCTCTAACCGCTGAGCCAAGCCGGCCAGGGCTAGATTCCTGTTGTTGATGTCATCAGCTCTGTAGGAATTTTGTTGGAGCAGCCCTAGGAATCCAGGACAGGTTTTGGTAATACACAGTGTTGTTATGTCCGTGGGATGGCTCGTTTATTTATATTGAAGTAAAGCAAACAGTTTCGAAGGGTATTAATAACGGGAGAAACACTAGTTTCATCAGCTAGCTGACGCTTGAAATACAGGCAGCGGCACAACCAGACTGTCGAGAGGAGGGTCAAAGCGGAGCCTGCTGGCTGCCTGGCGGACCGAGCTCGCAGGACATCCGTGACACGCACGGGGAAGAGGACAGGTCTGAGCAAACTTACCTGATTCTGCGTGTTCTCAGACTCTTTACACTGGACTTTTTTCTGTCTCCTTCTGGAAATACACATTCAATGGAGGTATTAAGAACTGCACTCCGGACAGGGGTCATTTTAAACCTTCTGCGCCTCCCCTGCCCCAGCTCCGGTGCTCTTACTGAACGTGGCCAGGTGGCCACCCAGTCTCCTTACACGTACCTCCCCACAATGCCATTGACCTAAATCGTCTCGTCTCCCCTACCTCCTCCCTGTGCCCCCAGATGCTGGAGGCAACTGCAGGGGATTGCAGGCAGGGGACATGAGTCGTTCATCTCGGTGAGGTTACTGCAGAAGGGTCACTGTGGGTTATTACATAAATGGCTTATGGCCTTCTCCATGTAATTTCAAACTTGATTTCCCACAACAAATACATCCTTTTAAGTGCTAGTGGAGTAACTTCTTGGATGACAATGATAATATAATTAAGGGGTATGAAGTCTCTGGGTGTTTTACTAAACCACCTGTGTGGGTTATTTTATTTAGATTGCATTAGGGGGGGATAAAGACTCTCTATTTAACAGGTTGAGCATGGCTGGTGTGGCTCAGTGCTTGAGCATGGCCCCTTCCACCAAGAAGTTGCCGGTTCGATACCCAGTCAGGGCACATGCCCAGGTTGTGGGCCAAATCCCCAGTGGGGAATGTGCAGTAGGTGGCCAATCAATGTTCTCTCTCATCGATGTTTCTGTTTCTCTTCCCCTCTCCCTTCCCCTCTCTCTCTAAAATCAATAAAGGGAAAAACAGAATACAGGTTGGGGGACTAAGGCGGAGAGAAGAAGAGTAACTTGCCCCACATATCATGGTTGGTTAGTGGTAGTATGGGACTGGAACCCACAGCACCCCCCCCCCCTGGGATGGCTGTGTTCCCCTGCTCTGGGCCGGGCTGCTGTGTCGAAGGGGCAATCTGGAGCTATGTCATTCAGCAAACTCTCCAGGTTCCAACTCAACCTACAAAACCCAACGTCCTGGGGAATCTTCAAGAAGAAGATTCAGAAGAAGAGAGGAAGCTACTGTAATTGGACACAGTCGCTCAGACACCTGCCTCCAGGTGTGAGGATGTTTCCCGGGGAGATGGGGACCACCTCTTCATCTCCCCAAAGAAAAGATTCTTACTGAGCAACAGAGAAGGTGGGTCAGATGCAAACATGCAGTCATTTTTTTTTTAAAGATGAGCTAAGCGTTCCTTCAAGAAAACTGTGGAAACAGGCAAGATCGTCCCTCTCCAAGGCAAGTTAGTTCAAATGGGGATGTGGGCCCCGTGGTCCCTACTACGTGCTGTGAAATCCCCCACCAGCTCAACACAATGACCAACTTCACTTCTTCTACGTGCTTTTTATTTCTCGACTTAAGTATTATTGAGATAATCATTTATTTATTGGATGTGTAAGTTTACTATGTGCAAGCCACGTTTGTAGGTGTTTTATGAAAAGTATTTGCTGCTCAAAGGAAATGTATTTGGGAGGTATTATTATCTGCTTGTTACACATGAGGAAACCAAGACACTGATCTGTGACCTTTGATCTTTTGTTAAATCATGGTCCACGAGGCTTGTTATAACACAATATGGAGTTAAGTTTCCCAAATAGGTCCAAGACATATATATATATTTTAATAAAGTATACAATGCGATGAAGAGAATGTGAAGCTGAGTCAGATGCTCTGTGCTGAACTTGTGCTTTGAGACTTAACTCCTTGCCAGAGTCTCTAAAGGTCAGTCCTCTTACTGTTCAATAAAGACCGTAACTAGGGCGTGGTTGGGTCTAGGTTGACCAGCTGTTCCGGTTTGTGGATTTGGAGTTTCCCAGGGCCCAGGGGACTTCAGTGCTGAAACCTGGAGAATCCCAGGCAGACCACCCACCGTCTTTGTTGTCAACATCGACGCTGACAACACGTGTAAGAGGACGTGTTGAACACCGCTCACTAAATGTTCCATTTCTCCTACAATGCAGGTGCCCGTGTAGAGACTGGCAGCGTACCAGCAGGAGGCACTGGGATCCGACTGGAACGCAGGGCCTGGGAGCGGACACGGGGCTCGGGGTCGTGGCCCACGGGCCCCAGGCTCTGGCCGTGAGGGAAGAATCCCATTTCCTCCAGGCACACTGATTTATTTTGCCTTCTATCCAAGTCAGCACCTCTGAAGCGACAGGAGTAGTTTAAACAGTCACGAGGACAGAGTTCAGAAGGTCACTGATTGGCCCTGGCATCACCTTTCCAACCATGTCCATTCTAAGGAACAACACACTGATACAGGGACAGGGTGGCAAGACCAGGGACCCTCCCCTCTGTGTCCGGCCGTGATGACGCGGTCCAGTCCACGAAGCCTCTACTCATCACACTTGCCCAAGTGGGACAGTGTAGTCTGCGGTTCAAGTTAGCTATTCACGTAAAAGGGATTCGCTTTCGTGAAACTCAGTCCTTCCTGCCCAGGGTCTGTGACCCGCCAGAGACCTGCTGTTCCCCTCTGAGCGCCCCCGTGTTCCTGTGGCCACATCGCCCCTCCGCGCGTTTTTATCCGCCAAGGTGACGCCGCAGAGAAAGTCTCAGGTCATGGACACCCTGGCTCTCACCTCAGCCGGCTGATCACTAGCCCGAGAGAGATTTGAGGGCCGCAGGGTGACGGAGAGGAAGAAAAAACGACAGTTTCGTGTTTCGGTTTAATTAGACGAGTGCCACTGACCATCCGCTGCGTGGGAAGATGAGCGCTCGGGGCGACCACACTGCAAAATGAATGCGTCCTGGGCCTGCGGCCACGGACAGGACGAGAGACCAGCGGGAAGGTGCTTCGCCGAGAACGCTGGCTGCCGGGCAGCCCGTGAGAAGCGTGTGGTTCGGGAGGGTGACGCCGCCTCCTGGCAGGGACGGAGGCCCGGACAGACCCGCAAGGCGCCTGCGTCCCCCGCCTCGAACGAGCACAGGATTGAGGCCGAAGCGGGGGGAGGGAGAGCATTTTGGTGGCGTCACACTGGGAAGAGGGTCAAGTGTGTTCACAGAATAGAAGTTGCAGTTTCAAGAAAATCTGTCAATATCGGGGGTGGAAGGGGGCACACACCAAGGGAAATGAGGCTAGGCCGGAAGACGGGGCTGGTGAGCTTTGCCATTTCTCTGGTGGCAGCGGAGAGGCAGGGCTTTGAGCAGGAAGGTGACCCGCCGGCTTGAGCTCTTGGAAAAGGAGCACTCGGTGCATCGGAAAGAGCGGAGAGTCCGGAGCAGGACAGCAGATCGGAGAGCGTGGCTGGAATCAGGGGTGGTGAGCAGAGCCCCCGAAGACGTGGAGAGTGGGGAGATGGAGAAACCCCCTGGGATCCGATCAGCAAGCTCTGTGGGTGGGGGTGGGGGTGCACACGCGTGTGCGTGTGTTCGTGGTCACATTCGGGGAAGAGAAGTGTGGGGGTGCAGGGATTCACCCACCCGATAGACACGCGTAAAGAGTGTGGTGCGCTGGACATGCTAAGGGCAGGCATCGCGTGTCCGGGCCCCTCCTCAGGAAGGCAGTGCTGTGTTTGGAGCGCAGTCCGCGGCGGAGGCTGGCATGTCACCTTCCTGCTCAATGTCACCACAGTAATTCCAACCCTAAGTGGTCACCGCTGAGACTGCAGCAGACGCCCAGGCACATGAGAGATGAACGTGGGGAGCTCGAGAGGGAAGGGGGCGTCCCCTGGAAACTCCCCGCGGTGCCACGGACCGTACAAGGCGGAAACCAGGAGGCCACGGCCACGTGCTCTCTCTGAGGTCCCCCTCCCCACCCCTTTCTTCCTCGATAACTTTTATTAAGAGCACCTAAAGGGCTCGTTTCGAAGAATAGACAACCATTGCAAGCACGCGGTTTGCTTATTAGAATGCATGCGGCATCCATCTCGTTCCCCGCTGTACGACAAACATCTGATGAATGGAAAAATGAAGGCGTTGTTACTGTTCACGCCTGTCCTTCCCCCTCAGAATCTCTGTCTCTGTCTCTGTCTCTCTCTCTCTGTCTCTGTCTCTCTCACTCACACCACCCCTCACCCAGCAACCTTTTGTCCTAAAGAAGGAGGGAGATGGATGCACGGGAGACGGAGCAGAAGCCTCGGGCAGCTGGCCAGAACAGGACACTGCTGCTCATACGGGGCGGATGGCCGGCTCCTACCAAGTACTAAGTGAACGACTCCCCCTTTCTCCTCCGACGTTACCACAACCGCTTCCTCTCCTCTGCGTCAGAACAGCTCTCAACAGAATGGCCGTGAGCGCGAAGACAGCTCGGCCGACGACGGGGTTATTTATAACAGAACCGCGAACATCAGAAACACTCGGGATAAACAGGACTCAGGAGGAGGGGCAGTGCTCACCTGTTATGAACCACGGCAATGACAGCGGCAATTAGGGTAACAAACAGCAGCGATAAAACTGCCCCGACAGCCATGAAGACGATGTACTGGCTATCTTGGTGATGGGTTTTACCTAGGAGAGAAAAAAAAAATTATAGTAGGGATTAGGAATTCAGCAAAAGCCAGCAAAAAGAAAGTTAGAAAAATGAAGACATGGCACATCAATCCTCATAAGGAACAATCGAAAACAAACAGCAAATCCAAGAAAAAGCAGGACGAGATAAGGGAAAAAGATTATTTTTCTTCCAGAGTCTCCTAAATATTTCTGACTCCTCGCGGATTTTAATTAGCTCCTTGATCTCTAAGATTGGGTTTGACCCTTAAGAGTAAGAATAGAAGAGTGTGTGTCGGGACAGATCTCCCTTTATTCTGAGGAGCTCGTGATCCCAAACATAAACTCTTTTGTAGAAAAATATAGCTGTCAGAATCGTATACAAATTAAGGTTACTTCTTAAGTCTGATATCTTCAGTACTTTCAACACACAACAGTAGATAACTTTGATGTTTATAAGTAGAATTTTGTTTAAGAACTATTTTCTACTCAGTTGGGGTTAATGATAAAAAATAATCAGCAAAAATGCGTTGTTCTGACTCCCTGCTTCCGTGGAAAGAAGCATGGTCCAGGGATCCGCACTTCCCAGCCTAGTTCGCTCACTGGTCAGTGTCCTGACCACCTTGACCTCTGCGCACCTTTCTTCATCTGTCCGCCGAGACAGTGGGAACTTCTGATCACATCACAGAATTGTGGTGAGAATCTATCGAGGTGACATTCAGAGTAATAAACCACTAAAGACACATCATCTGGAGCCTGACCCCGTGAGCTCAGAGAGCGATTTGTCTGCAGACTGACCTCCTGCCCACAGCACGCCTTACCCACGGCCACCCACGGTCCTCCTCGGAAGACACTCCACGACGGGCGCTGTGCTGCTGCTGGGAGCGGGCTGGGTGGGAAGCCGGGGGCTGTCGTCATGGCCACCTTTCTTTGGGACGGCAGAGTGAGCCCAGGCAGGGCCTGGCCAGGGCTGGTCCTGTGACCCCGGCTGCCTGGAACCCCACAGTAACCAAAAAATCACACTTCTCACTGGATTTTTCACAATCTGACAGATCATTTCCTCCTTCCTAATTCACCCTTTAGCTGCAATTTTTTCAAAGTCGACACACACCTGTTCGTTTGCAAGCATCAGTGCAAAGAGAAAGTACGTCAAATCACGAACACTGCTTTTGTGCTTTAAATCCGTTTAACCGACAAGGTGAATACAAGTGTAAACACATATGAAGGCTTTAAAGACTTTGCGCAGTGCCCCGCCGGAGGGGCTCAGAGGTTGAGCATGGACTCACGCATCAACAGGTCGCCAGTTCAATTCCCAGTCACAGCACAGGCCCAGGTTGTGGGCTCGATCCCCAGTGGGGGGCATGCAGGAGGCGGCCAGTCGATGTTCCCTCTCATCAATGTTTCTCTCTCTCCCCCTCTCCCTTCCTTTCCCTCTAAAATCAATAAAGAAAAAAAAATTTTTTAAAGACTTTGCACAGAGAGTCTAGAAATGGCTTCTGTCCAAATACGGTGGGGAAAGGAAAAGCGGAATTTATTCCAAACAAAAATACATCGAACTACCACTACGAAAAGAACAGTTAAACTTTCTTCCCATGAAATAAGAAATTAACCTTTTGAAGTTCTTGGCACATTATAAAAATAAACAAAATGCCTGAAATTATTTTGCATTACACCCCAGTACTATGAAAGCATCATACCTGCTATATTGAAATGATTTGAATATAATAAATGCTAAGGTTAAATCCAACAGGCAGTCATAGCAAGAAAAGTTATTATCAGTAAATTCATTGACACTATTCTGGGAGAATCTTTTTAACTACTTGTTTTAAAAGGCAATTTAGCCCTGGCCGGTTTGGCTCAGTGGTTACAGCATCAACCTGTGGTCCTGAGAGACCCAGGTTCGGTTCCCGCTAAGGGCGCGTACCTCGGTTGCAGTTTGTCCCCGGCCCTGGTTGGTCGTGCGGTGGCAGCCACTCCATGTGTCCCTTTCACATCGATGTTTCTCTCTATATATCTCTTCCTCTCTCTCCCTCCCACTCTATCTGTACAAAAAATGGAGAAATGTCCTCGGGTGAGGATAAAAAAACAAACAAACAAAAGGCAATTTAGATCTTTATTACAGTAAAAAAAAATCTGGGTGAACTAGAGGTCTAATATTTTCAATGTAAATATTAGAAGAAAATATAAATAAATAAATCTCTGGAATGAGAAATGACTTTCCAATTTATAAAAATAAATAAATATACAGGATTGAGTCAATCAAAATGAAAAATAACTGTAGGACAAATGATTGCAAATGGCATGTAAAGACAAAAAAAATGGTTAGTAGTTTTATTCTATCCTTGCTATTAAGAAAAATGTAGCCCTGGCCGGTTTGGCTCAGCGGTTAGAGCATCGGCCTGCGGTCCGGAGAGACCCGGGTTCGGTTCCCGCTAAGGGCACGTACCTCGGTTGCAGTTTGTCCCCGGCCCTGGTTGGTCGTGCAGGTGGCAGCCACTCGATGTGTCCCTTTCACATCGATGTTTCTCTCTCTCTCTCCCTCCCTCTCTATCTGTACAAAAAAATGGAAAAATATCCTCGGGTGAGGATAAAAAAATAAAAAAAATAAAGAAAAATGTACAGTCCGGCTGGTGTGGCTCAGTGGATTGAGCATTGTCCATGGTCACCAGTTCAATTCCCGGTCAGGGCACAGACCCAGGTTTCAGCCTTGAGCACCAGTAGGGGGTGTGCAGGAGGCAGCTGATCCAAGTGAGACACATTGATCATCGATATTTCTATCTCTCCCTTCCTCTCTCTCTAAAAAAATCAATAAAAATATATTTAAAAAATAAAGAAAGAAAAGAAAAAGGTATATAAGACAATAGGAGAGATATGCCTTATTAACAAAATGCTCTTAAAGAATAAGTTTGTACAAAAGGAAGTCGGTGGTGAGACAGCCCCTCTTACCTTGCCTTTGGGGAGTAAAAACTGCTACAACCAGCAACGAGAAAGAAATCGGTCTCTCGTCACTCCCTTTCACTGGGTGCTTGCACATTTCATTAATTACTTTATTCTAAAGAAATACTCGGAACTGTATAACATTTATAACAGGAAAAAAATCCTTATTTCCCAATGTAGACTAACTAGCAAGACCCTGCAGCTGGGGTTGTCAAACTCCATTTGCAATAAAATCGCCTGGGGGCTTGTTCAACCAGGACCAGGTCTCTGAGCCCCGCCCTCAGAGTTCTGATTGGCAGGTCTGGGTGGGTCCCAGGATTGGCAGCTCTCCTGCGACTCCTAGGATGGGGGGGGGGGGGGGCTCACTCTTTGAAAATCAGGAAAATCAGGCTTTTGGACATTAGAATGATGTGTGGAAAGAATTCCAAGGAAATGAAAAACTGCTGACTCCAGATAGAAAGCTAAGTAAAAAATTAAAGCCAGAATTCACGGTTGCACTGGCTAAAATATCTCCATCAAGTATGGAACTTACCGGAAAAAATGCCTGCAAAGCGACAACATGCCAAATCTTTAAAGTGATGATCTTCAGGGAGTAGAATTAAAAGCAATTATTTCCTTAGGCTCTTTGGTATTGTCCAAACTGTCTAAATGATGTATTGCTTTTATTAATCAGGAAATAAAATAGCACAAAATTCAAAGGTCTGCATGCTTATCCAGAAAAATCTGCCAAAATGGAGCGGTTACATTTAAAATGCGGCGTTGGGGAGCTACTCTGTAGACGGGTACATGGAACCCTTAAGAATGAAGATGGCATTTCTTCTTCTACTGAGCTCTAAATGAAATGAATTAAGAAGCAGAAACCACCTAAAGGTGTGGCCACTTGTCTCGCAATGCTGAATTATAAATCGGAATTTCCAGTACATTCTGTAATGCGGGACCTGTCCCTTCTTTTCACCTGTCCTAGTCGTGTTGGGCATAATGTTTGTTGGAGTCAGATCTCTCTACTCCTTCATCTTTCAGCACGTGGTAGTTCGAGGCATACTGCGGTGTATGGGTTTAACATGACTTCAAATCCACGTTTTTATGATTTAAGTTTGATGTAAAAGCACGCTTGGAACGGGCATTTCCCACGAGGAATAAGGGTGCCAGCCCCACCCCCGGGAGATGTCAGCATAAGATCCTTATCGCCCCAACATTTCAGTCCCGCTGCAGAGACGAACCGAGCACCCCCGCCTCCAGCCAGTCCCGCCTCTCCCCCCTTTCTTGTCCCCCCCGCTGTGATCCATGAGCCATCAACACTCAGGACCACGTGGCACAACCGCACAACTGGCCGGGCGGGCGTCCTCTGGCTAAAAACACAAGCGTTACAAAGCAGAGCAAAGGGCACTGGATGCTTTAGGGAGGCGACAGTCCTCATGGTTACTTTTTGCTACGTTCGGCTCACAGATCTTGGGTTGAGAAATGTCAGCCCTCAAACGCCTCGCTTACAGAAGAAAGGGTTCCTGCCCATTCTCAGCAGCCACTATTGTGTGGACGTGTTTTCCCACGTTCGTCCCGGTGGTGTGTTGATTCCTCGGAGGACAAGGGTCGCGAACCCTCCGGCCATGATTTTCCCTCCCGTCAAAGAGGATAGACACAGTTACAACAAACTGTCAGAGGGATCTATGAATGAATAACTCACGCCAGGGCTGCGACCCTCCAGTGACAAGTACTCGCGGCTGAGTTACGAACCCTTTGGGCGGCCCACCCCAGAGATGCAGCCGGGCACTTCCCTCAGAGCCGATGGGCACCAGCGGGTGTCCCTGTCATCGTTTACTCTGTATCAGAGCTTGGGGCCATTGAGGGAGGAAACTGGGGTCAGGGTAGTGAGGCAAGTCACTCCCAACCTAACTATCTGGACTGAGGAGCATGCTAGGAAAACCACCGCCCGACCCCGCAGCCAGGCCCAGGGGTGTGTGTTGGCATAAGATTTTCTTACTTTTCTGCCTCATTAAAAAAGGAGCAGAAACAAGGGGGCTTAGATAAAACAGACAGAGGTGCTTTATATATTTAAGCACCACCTAATATATAAATTATTAATAGCC